AGAACTTTCCTCTCCAAAGTTTTTCCAGGTAGGGCGCTTTGCTTATTCTTCCACGTCTCAGGAAATTTACAAAACAAGCATGCAAATGTTGCGGATGCAGAAGTCCAAGACAGGAAACTTATTATTCTTCATTCAAAAAGGCATTTAAGTTTCGCCGTGTGGATAATAAAATAAAGACATGGGTACTTACAAAATTGGCGGTAATATGGAATATTAAGTGGACGATTCCGGGATAATTTTTCATCAAACACATCCTCGCAGCTCAGCATCCAACAGAAAAAGGAAGTTATGAACTTAGATGCAAGACGGCTTAAGCTACCCGCCGACGTTTTTGACAATAGTTGTCAAAAGTTGGTAAAACTATTTGCTGTGAGTGGAGTAATCAAAGTTGCATGCGGAAGGGAGTATCGCATGCGAGAAAATTTGTTTGCTTTGGTGCTTGTGCAAGCCTAGACGTGTCGGTTGGAAAAGGTTTGACAGGATTAAAAAGTAATACTATGGTATTTTTGGTGAACGTTACCAGGTCGGTATCACACTGGAAAATTTCTGTCACCAAAACCACTCTGTTTGTAGGCAAGAGAGGTAGGCAGTGCGGTGAGGTAAAGTTTCTCAAAAAATTGTTCCAGTTTCTACCCCTCATTAGAGTGGCAGTTCTGCTGCAGCGCACTAACACTAAATTTCAATCTCAAAGTTACAAATACATTCAAACGTCCAACACCCCAACCAGCAAAGAAACGTAAATTTTGCCGACAGTGCAGTTTAGTTGAATTTACCGCATCCGAAAACGCATGGAAAAAACACCTACAGTTATCATAAATTTTCGTATCCAGAAAACGTTCGAAAAAGATGATGTCATTGAAAGCAATAATTGTATTTTATTCACTTAAGCTAAACATTTGAAAGCATACATGCGTAGTCGGCAGTTGCTGAGCATGCAGAGTGTGCCGCTATTTGTTAGCTTCTAGAAGGTGCCGGGTTCGAATTCCGTCAGGCGCTTCCTAATTTTATTTTATTTCTTTTGAACCATGAAAAAGTATCTGTGAATTGCAGAAGGAAAGCTCATTTAACGAAAAATTCAATAAGACAAATTTCAAAAAAAAACTTCCGAAAACGTATCCGTTTCACATACAATTTTCGGTAGGGTTCTGTACATACGTTACTTTAGTGAGAAAACGGATCGTCAAAATCCGCACTTCATCCACTTTTTTGTCCTTTTTCGGATCAGTTTTCGAATTTTTTGCTGGCTGGGACGTTCCCAATTGGTAAAACGACGTCGATTCCGACTCGTTCTGGTGAACAATTTGTTCGCCGGCGACGGTCGCAAACGNAGGGTTCTGTACATACGTTACTTTAGTGAGAAAACGGATCGTCAAAATCCGCACTTCATCCACTTTTTTGTCCTTTTTCGGATCAGTTTTCGAATTTTTTGCTGGCTGGGACGTTCCCAATTGGTAAAACGACGTCGATTCCGACTCGTTCTGGTGAACAATTTGTTCGCCGGCGACGGTCGCAAACGCCTCGCCGGCGAACTCGCCGTCGGATGAAAAGCACAGTTCGCCGGCGGGACGCAAAAACGACTCGCTGGCAGGTCGCGAAAGCGACTCCCCTGCAGCCCGCAAAAATGATATATTTAATTTCTGTTCAGTACTCTCTGTAAGTAAATAATAGTATGCACCAAGAATTTTATACATATACATAAGGCATACAACTTGGATTAGTTGTTTACTTACTGGCTGGGCGCAAGTACATCGCCGGAATCTCTAGAATCGCTGCTGATAATACGCACTATTAATTTTTGATGCAGTGGGTAGTAATTCAAACTAATTGAAATATAACAGAAATTCAAAATGGAGCCTTGTTTCACAGAATATACACCAATAGACCTTTTCGCAGTTTTTTACCACGAATGGTTTCGTGCAGCGTTATTAGCGCACTGTACTTTATAAAAACAAAATTTAAAAAATTTTATACGAAAAATATTGTGAATACTCATGATGCAATAATGAAAGGTGTTGTACGTTGTGACAGCTCGAAATCGAACTACCTTAGGTCAATATTGTATTTTGGAAGTACAAGAAAAACGGGAAGAAAAAAAGCCTTTTATTTGAAAAAGTACTAAATTTGATGCCTTCTCAACAGCGTTCCGATTATCTGAATAGATATCTATGGCTTGGTAGTCTCATAAAGTTGTAGATAATTAAAATAATAAAATTAGGCGTGTTTTTATTCACAGGAATATGATAATATGCTTAAAATTTTTGAGCTGATGGATACCCATCTAGAACAGTATGGCATATATAATTCCTTATATAAACCGCATCACTAAGTAAATTATCCCTTATGAATTTGAAATGTTTCCCTTAATTGTACGTGTGATATTTTCTCCCCCTCTTTCAAATGGGCTTCTTGTGCGCATATATTAGGTTTGATAGCTGTTGACCATACCAATAATGCCTCATACTCAGTTTAACAAGATCAATTCGTGTTGTCGAGAAAAAGAATTTCACGATTCAAAAATCTGAGTATAGCGGCCAAATTCTTTTCTCAAAATTTTGAAAATTCTTCGTTTTTTGGCCTATATTTGCTTTGTATGGTATTTGCCACAAAATATAGGCCGAAAACGAAAAATTTGGAGAAAAAAGATTTTTCAGATTTTTGGATCGTGAAAATTTTTTTTCTCTGAGAACACGAATTGATCTAGTAAATCTGAGTATGAGGCATTACTGGTATGGCCAACAGCTATCAAACCTGATATATTCGCACTAAGGTTTTTTTGTGTTCCACAGTGTTAAATAAGGGATACTTTGAGGAATCATATAAACAATTATACGTTACCCAAGTTCACGTACATCCAAGTTCGAGTCATACAGCAAGCTTATTAATGTTTTATTTATTTGTTTTTGAAATTAACAATATATTTCAGAATTTATAATTAATACGTTGTGTTCATTTTAGTAAATCCACTTTGATTTTTAAAATTTAATAATAAATCTCGATATCAGAAAACTTTTCAACGCCCTATTTCAAAATTTGGCTGGAAAACGCCCTATTTTAGAATTTGATTGAAAATTGCCCTATCTCAGAACTCGGTTCAAAAACACTCTATCTCAGCTGGCGATCCAAAAACGCCCTATCTCAGCACATTTTCAAAGTATTTTCATTTGAGATAGGACTTTTTTGAACTGAATAATAATAATAGCATACTATATACATTAGAGGGCTGCATGAATTCATTCAAACTTCTAGCCAAACAGAGTACAATAGATTTGAATATTTTACTTCACATACAAAACAATCAGCGTTTGGAATTTTGTAAGTTATGAACAGGGAACGGATTTTATGGAAATTGCCTTTTTTTCTGCTAAAGAGATAGAGTATATTCGATTAAGAATGTCCACGATTTAGCTTTCCCTGATTCCATATATACACATTTGATGTTGCCTTTTTTTGTCTTTTTTAAGATATTTGCCTTTTTTTTGCCTTTTTTAAGATTTTTGCCGTTTTTTGCCTTTTCTACCTTTAAAAAGTGATTATAGCATTTACAATGTTTTTTTTAGATTAAAAAATATACTCATGCCCATGCGGCTTATATAAGCGCAGGGACCTCTTGCCAAATTGGTGTTGAAAAAATTCAAAGCCGTTTTCTCAGCAAACGTAGGCTTGGAGACAATAAGGGGTGTGCATAAAATTGTAAAGGGCGAGGAAAATGCCCTTATTCCTGATAATATGAACGTTTCAAACGTTCTATATTTAAATTGGGCTCCACTTGTATCAACTTACGTCGAGCGCACATTTAGTACATTCAAGGCTTTTCTTCGCGAAAATCGAATGAAAATGCTGCCAGAAAACTTCAAAATGCATCTTGTGGTTCAATGTTACTACAACTATACAGATTAAAGTTTTATGAATTAGAAACTCAAAAGGATAAAATAGTCAAAGATTAAAAGTACAAATTTTTCATATAATGAAACTAGCTCATAGTTTTTCTCTTTTTACTTTTAATATAAACATTTCTAAAATAAATATATTTGTTGATTGTTCTTCGTATTTTCTGTCTTTTTTAGTGCCTTATTTTGCCTTTTTTGCAATACCTGTTTTTTGCCTTTTCCTGCCTTTTTCGCTATTTTGTTTTGCCTTTTTTTGCCTTTTTTCCAATTCCTAGTGCCTTTTCCTGTCTTTTTCGCTATTTTATTTTGCCTTTTCCAGCCTATTTCGTTACTTTATTTTGCCTTTTTTATAGGTTTTTAGGTCCTAAAAATCCGTTCCCTGGTTATGAATATACATTTTGTTTTATATTTTCTACCTTTAAATGGAAGAATGTGAATGAATGAATAGAAAACATTCAAATCATCCAAACTCATTTCGGTGAAAGTTTTTTTCTACAAACAAGTTTTTTCGTATATAATGGGAGCGCAGCAATACATACATACATACATATGTATGTTTGTACATATGTGCATAGAAAAAATATTTTTGGATATTCATACAAAAAATTGTCGTATATTTCAATTCAATTTACTTTCACATTGTTGTTGAATATTGTAATGTCGACACAAATCTCAGAACAGCTATTCACTCAAATTCAAAAAAATTTGAAGCCAAAATCATTCATTCGTTTTGTATATGAATAATTCATAAGCCGTTTTGAAAGCATTCATGCAGCCCTCTAGTATGTATATATCAAATAAAACACCTCTTTGAGGCAAAATTTTTGAGTGACGAAAGCTGAATTAGAAACACAAAATTTNCATATATCTACATATCGTCGTTTAAAGTACTAAGCCGTGTATCAAAAAAATGCTAAACTGCGTATCAAGATAACGCAAACCCACGTATGCGAGGTTGCATAAATTATTTTCTAGAGAGTAAAAACACTCATATTCCAAAATGGATATCTTTTTTTAAAAAGCAATCGCATTTTTGGCTAGTATATTTCAGGAAGAATGGATAAGGATTGAGCCAAGAACTTGTGTGAGCAAATCCAATTTTTAGCAGCAAATGTCAGTTACGCGGGTATATTAACAGGAACGCAGCATTCTAATACACGGGTGAAGCAGGAACGCAGCACAGCAGAAGCATACAAACAATCTGCAAATAAATGGCTTTTTAGGTGTTTAACAAACAAAAACCTGGTTTCAACTTACTTCAACGTGTCTAAAGCACAACGCACACACTAATGCAAAGGCGCAACAGGGACGCAACACTATAAAACACGGGCGGAGCAATACACGGGCGGAGCAGGAACGCAGCACAGCAGAAGCGTCCACAAAATCTGCGAATGAATGGTTCATTAGGTTTTGAAATAACAAAGAGCTGGTTCCAACTTACTTCAAAATATCTGCAGGATGATGCACACAATCAAATTCGGCCGCAGCTGCAGTTCACCAGAGAATGCTGCAAATGGAATGGTTCATCAATGAAGTCAAAATAATATGTTGTAACTTACGGGTATTAGCTCTTAATTACAATACCAGCACAGGTCGGCCAGGAAAACACTAAGGAAATGACCTAATAAATGCAAAATTATAATTTATTTGTAAAATAATTCGGTTTTATTACAATACTTACCAAATTTCACGCAATTAGAAAAGAAATGTCAGCGAATAAGAACAAAACGAACAACGAAAATTGAATCAATGTAGCTTGTTTCGAATTTTGTTTCGATATTTTGGGAAATGTTCAGTGAAATTAGCAAAGAAACAACACAGTTTCTCCTAAGGTAGTTCAAGATGGCGGATTAGAGCGAGAAGTTGCCAACGAATAACACCTTTCATTATTGCATCATGCCAAATGAATTGGAGAATGTAATTAATTTTTATGCTAAGTACCTGTAAATAAATAGTAGGTAGTACACAATACTCATATCTGTAATAAGACAATTTTGAGTAATTTGTTCGGATTTTGAGGATTTTTCATTTGTTTTTAAGGAATTTGGTAATTTTTTGTGGCAACACTGAAGTCACGACTTNGACAACGTATAACACCTTTCATTATTGCATCATGATGAATACTGAAAAAAAGATGTAGGTGGCTTAATTTTCTGAGCACAAGTGTACTTTGTGGATTTCATATTCTGTCATAATAAAAAATTCTCAAAATAGAAACGGTTTACTATCCCAATAAATGACTTTTATTTAAGCTGAGATATATAAAAATGTGGTAGCGGAGCTTGTGCAACCCAAACCGAAGGTTCCTCAAGAAACTTGTGGGTTCGACCGACGTCGCAAGGACTTCGATTCGATGAGAAAAAACGACGTCGGAACGACATTGAATTTTGTATGGAAAGAACGACTTCGTTTCGACGTTGTTTCGAGTTCACCCAAACGACTTCACCAGAGCGACGTCGATTCGAATTCGTTTTCGCCCTGTGGCAAATTGGGTATACACATTTTATTCTGCTGTTGTTCTGCTACTTTTCATCCAGTGTGAAACCATGAGAATAATTGTTCTGTCATTCTAGTTTGAAACAGCCCTTACGGATTTAAATCATCTATTTCAGAGCTGGACAATTTTTGGTCGCGAGCAACGCCAGCATCGCAGTCATTGTTGGCAACTTGGTGCTTTAAGCACTAGATTTAGTGCTTTTTGAAAATTAAAACGCCAAAAAAATTATTTAGTGCCTAGTGCCTTTTTTAGTGCTTTTTTTCTGAACTGAAATTACTTCGAGATAGTTAAAACCTGAAATAACTTGGAATATTTAAGGCTGTGGCAGCACTGAATTTACAAGAATCTACAAATTTAAATGGACTAAAATACAACCATGATTGATAAAAAGCTGAAGTTGCAAACCCACCTTGTTAAATTCTATTCGCGTTGAAACAAATTTTGTACAAATTTTGTTTTTTTTTACCACCTGAGTAAAAACACATCGTTTCTTGGTGTTGAATCCAAATCTGGCCTCAAAATTGCTATAGCACTAGAATTTTGAGATATCCTAACCTCAAAGTGCCAAANCAAATTTTGTACAAATTTTGTTTTTTTTTACCACCTGAGTAAAAACACATCGTTTCTTGGTGTTGAATCCAAATCTGGCCTCAAAATTGCTATAGCACTAGAATTTTGAGATATCCTAACCTCAAAGTGCCAAAAACACGGTTTTTAGCGATATTTGAGGTTATATAATGAAAACATCAAATTATTTGCTCATTTCTAATTAGGGCATCATTTTCGTTTGATGCGATTCGATTTTTCTTTCTTGAGATTTACCAGTTTTAATGTGCAGTACTTCGGTATTATGTTATGAAAAAAGCATCCCTTGATTCAAAAAAATTTGGTGCTTTTAGAAAATCAAAAGATGACAACACTGGTCGCAGTTCATATACGTACACAGCAGCTTTGCCACTTGAGAATATTTTAAGGTACCAAAAAGCCTACCAAATCAGTTTNTGAGATTTACCAGTTTTAATGTGCAGTACTTCGGTATTATGTTATGAAAAAAGCATCCCTTGATTCAAAAAAATTTGGTGCTTTTAGAAAATCAAAAGATGACAACACTGGTCGCAGTTCATATACGTACACAGCAGCTTTGCCACTTGAGAATATTTTAAGGTACCAAAAAGCCTACCAAATCAGTTTGCAGACTACCAAAAAACTTTTTATCAATAAAACGAGATTTTATTAAATTTACAGGTTTTGCAGATTAACAGTAGGTATAAATTAAAATACCAAATAATATGGTTTACTGTGCTACAGTTGGTTATCCATTCATGCAATACTTGAAGTTTACACAAAATAAATTCGGGCGTTTAAATAAATTAATTAACGTATCGTATAAAAACAGTTATAATCATTGTATATAGTTTTGATATTAATTCAATTCATATCAAATATTTTGATGTATAAAACAACAAATTCAGACATTTTATGCGTTTAAATAAAAGTTAGGTTGTTCACATTTGCTTGGTTATCAGGTTATCTGGTTATGTGGTTATATTTTTTATTCAGTTTACAACAATAAAATACACTACAGAATAATAATTTTTAACCAGATAACCTGATAACCAAGCAAGTGTGAACANACAGGGTTACCATTCATAGATATTTTTAGAGTTACTATAAATAGTAGATATCACTGGCAGTATGCAATCTTAAGCAAACAAATTTTATTGCTCAATTTGGTTGCAATTTCACTTTTGCCTACCAAAAGCTTCATCCTACCAACCAAACTACCAAAGGATAATGAGCCTACCAATTTTGGTCCAATTGGACCAAAACAGCAACGCTGGTACACAGAAGCAAAGCAGCGAATTTCGATTCAGTCTGCTTGCAGATTTCACCAAGTTAACGTCATGCTCGGCTGTGGATTGTTTTTCTTCGTAATTTTAGCACGCGCTTGCCATATTTTGTGTAGAATATTTGCAAAAAATCCCCAAAGCAAAAATTGGTGTGTTTTTCTTAGATTGGTGTTTGTATGCATTTGCGATGATTCAAACACAAAATAGTGCGACTCTATGTATATAAGAACTAGAGTTTATTGTTCAAAGAACTTTCAACAAGCCGCAATATCCGTTATATACCTACGTATTTTTAATATAAAATATATAAAATGAGCTGTTTGCTGACCAACGTTCAATAATTTTGTAATAAGTTCCATGATTTTTATAAAAAAGTGCACAAATTGCATGCCATATTTTAGAATAATTTGTTTCTATCTAAAAATGAATAATATTTATAAGTTATATTCTATTTTTATCGCTAAATTCCTATTTATATGAAAATAATAAAATATAAACACCGAAGTCATCTGGCCGGCCAGCATTTCAAAGATTATATTCCAATGAAATTGTGTCCAGGTATTAAACAAATGAGTTAAACCTATTTAAATTTTTTACAATTTTACAAGTATTTAATTTTTCGTATAGAAAAGTTTCTATAAACTAATAGTATTAATTACTAAAAACTCGACGATTCATTATTTCACTATACGTATAAGCAAACTAGGGCAAAAGACACAGGNATCACTGTATTTATAAAAAAGTGGAAACCATAACTGAGCGCGACGCACTATTTCCACGACAAAATGAGACTGGTTTGGTGTGCCCAGCATTGATCTATTTGCATTGTTTTATTATACACTTAATAATCAAGTTAATTTTTACGATAAATGTATACATTGGGGATGTGCGGGATAGAGATTTTGCCGGATAACCGGATTCCGGATAAATCTCTTAAAAAAGTTACCAAAATCTTTTTTATTGAGAAAAATTTATATAAAATAAATGTGTATTTAATTAATAAAAAATAAAATTTACATTAAAAGTAAACTGTGTAAACACATCACATTTAGATTTCAAGTATTTCACTCACGTAGGTTACATTTAGTTTATGGTGATTACCATCTTGCACCGTCAATCAGGCTGACTTCCAAAACGTATCAATACAATGTTTGGATATTGTTATACTGCGGTATTCAAACTGTTTGTATATCGAGGGCTTATATTCAATACCCTTTATCTGAAATTTTCACAAAAACTACTTTGTGATGTTAGAACCCATATGGGGCTTAAATGGCATCTATTACCTTGTTTATGCCGACACATAAAGTGCTTTGATCCACTTCGCTGTGATTCAAAACGGATGCATAAACTAAATTTCAACACGCTCTGAATTTCAAAAGTGTATTGACTCGAATTTGATTTCAAATCGCTTTTTTATTTCTCACATCGGTTAGAAAACAGGTATAAACACATCACGAATTTGACGCGAAGAGAAAATAGGCTGGTTTTCTTTATGCAGCCCGTTTTAAATTTGAATTATTATTAAAATAAATTTGAATTATTGTTCGCTTCCGTTTTGGTTAATCGCGTAAATAAATTATTAGAGAAATATCGAAATAAAACAACCAATTTTGTATACTTTTGAATACGGTTTCAGCGAGTGCGCTGTAAAGACACAGGTATAAACAATCGAAAGAAATATGTGTTGAGTCAAATTGGTTTTTTTGTTAATGCGGTTCTTGCGTAGGTATAAACAAGGTAACTGATGTTAATTATGACGTTGCAATTTAATAGTAAATTCTTCTATCACGCATTATACAAGGTCAGCAGTATTATCAACGATGACAGTGAAGTCTTATGTGGATTTTTATATCAGATTCTCATTTTTGTGAAAAGTGCAGATAGAGGGTATTGAATATAAGCCCTCGATATGCAGAGTTGCGACACATTGCAACCATATAGGCTGACTTCCAAAACATATCAATACTATGTTTGGATACTGTTATACAACGGTATTCAAACTGTTTGTATATTTTGATTGCAGAGGTAAAAATGGAAAATGCAGCGTTAAGTATTTTGGGTAGAATATTTCATGTGCTTAACTAAAAATAATAATACAAATTGCATCGAAAATTATCGAAGAATATGGAAAACCAAAAAGCGAAGAAAAGTTGTTCTGGCATTGTCCAAAACCAACGCAAGGAACCCCAGGAGAAATACCAAAAACTAACAACTTCTGGGAAGTAATAACAAAAATGCCCGACGAAGTTTTCAGTACCCGGATGCAAATAACCACATTTAAGGTAAGTAATTAGAATTTATTTAAAAAAGAAAACTAAAGCCCAAAATACAATAACGCAGTGGCAGTGGCAGCGGCAGTTCTTCGAAATC